CACCCGCCGGCCTCCCTGCCCGAGTGCCTCTGCCTTCCAGGGTGTGCGAGCCCCAGGTCTGGCTCTGGGCAGTGGGGGCCTGCAGGCCCGTGAGGCCTGGGGTGCCCCGGGGATGGGCGCTCTCTGACATGGCATAGGAAGGGGCTGGCGCGGACCTGAGCTCGCGTCCCTGTCACAGGGCAGGAGGGGCAGCCTCCCGAGGGCACGACTCTTGACCCGTCCCTCCAGTCTCAGGAGACTCCAGTGTCTGCAGGGCTGAGGACCCACCACCTGCTCAGGCCCCTGCTCCCTGGGGGCAAAGGTGCAGCAGCCGCATCCCTGCCCCAGCCGCTGTGAACCCCACACGGGCACAGGGCGTGGGGCAGGGTGAGTCCAGCCGGAGAGGAAGCACCCAGGGCTGACTCCCTGCGGCCTGGCCAGCCTGTCTGTACACCCAGCGACGGCTGAGTGCCCAGGACCTTGGTGTCAGTCCCCGCGGCCCCGCCTCCTCCCGTGGTTCCAGTTGGCTGTTGGTCGACTGACGGCCATGCAGCTGTGCCCCCCGAGGGCACACCACGCGGTCAGGGCCCCGTGGGCCGGCTGGCCCGGCTCATGCCCGCGAGGCCGACAAGCACCTGTCACACGTCCGCCAGAGCTTCAGGTCACGCATCTGGGCCAGCACAGCCCCAGGCCTGTGGCGGGAGGGAAGCGGTTAACCACGCCTTCCCGCACGTCCCTCCCAAAAAGCTGTCAAGATAACCTTAAAGGACTGTTCTTATCTGGCTGAGTGAGATTTGTGAGCCCGGCTCCCATTACTGTTAGATCTTCATGCATGAAAATGATAATATATACCTAAGGGTCCGCGGTAGTACAACATTTCCCAGGGTTTGTGACTTTAAAGGTAAAATATTGTCTTTTATTCTTTGTCACTCTCCAGTGCCCGTGGAAATACCCAGGCCCGTGGAGACTGTCCCCGGTGCAGCGGGAAGTCTGGCCGGGCGTGTATCTCCAACTTGAGATTAAATTTATTCTCTTTCATTCTGAATCCCTTAGAATTTCTTCCGGGGTCTTACCTGATTATTTTCAATCACACCAGTGCTACACGTCGTCCTGAGCGGTGGGTGATGAAGACAAAAAGGACCCAGACTCCCATTGTTGGTGTCTTGGCTTAACTGGACGTGTCCTTCGGTCACGCCTGCGCTGGGCAGCTCGGGAAATCGTGAACTGATGGGGAAGCGTCTCAGGACCTCAGTTCATTTTCCTCAGAAAAATAATTTTCCTCACCTCTTCCCGCAAAGCGGTGGCCCTAGTGATGCCGCAAGCAGGCAGTGGCCTGTGCTGGGGCCTTGGCACACGCAGCTCGTGCCTTTGTGCGTGTGCAGAGCGGGTGCCTCCCATGTGCCATCAGGTCATCGCCCGCGATGGGTCCACGCGTCCCGGGCTGCTCCCGGCAGGCAGCTCCCATTGCGGGGCAGCCGGTCAGGGCTGGGCTCGGGCGGCGCACGAGTCTGTCCTTAACAGGCCAGGAGCCTAAAGAGCCGTAGCAACACTGACCACATGCGTTTCTCCCCACAGAAATGGCAGGCTGGGGACCGACCAGCCTTGCCGTCCCAAAAGAATCTGACAGCGGGACGGTCATCTCAGGCTGGCCAGGACGGCGAGGCTGTGCGCCCGTTTCAGGCCCGACGGGTCCCCCGACACCGCACGGGGCTCCCGAGGGGGTTGCACAGGGCTCCCTAGGGGGTTGCACGGCCGGAGCGCGGTGGGGCGAGCCCTGGTGAGCAGGGAGCCGGGCGTCCCTGCGCGGGGCTTCAGGGGCACCGCCAGGGCACCCTTCAGAAACCCCAGCCGAGAGCAGGGCTGACTTCGCTCCCTGGACTGTCGGCAGCTGCCATTGAAAAATCATTTATTCCCGGCTTCAAAATTTCTAAAAGATTCTATTTCATTGAATTTTAATTTGTCATTTTTGTTGCTTTCACTTGAGAAACTTTTACGCTTTTATAACATTAAAATATGGCTCTAGTTTATTAGCATAATCTGTTACTATTGTCTCCTTTTCATCGCGTGATTTCTTAACATCCTGGTTAAAATGGCATCTTAACGTTGAAGTGAAGAAAAGTCACCTGTGCCCCAAATTTTTGTAGGAGAAGCATTAGTCTTTTAATATTGATAGTTTCCCCCTCGGGGCACCCTGCTTATGAGGGTGAGGCCCAGCCCGCAGTTCTGAGCCCGCCCAGCGGCGCCGCTCCCGCCCCCGCCCCGCCGTGCAGGTGCCGCCGGGCAGCGCAGGCCCTTCACACCGGGCACCCAGGCTGGCGGGCAGCAGGCGCGGGGCCTCCGAGGGGCTCCAGGCAGCGCCCGGGCCCAGACGGCCCTAATGCCGTCTTTATCTGCTAGGCGAGGCATGAAATCTGCTTTCGCTTTGAGAACTGCTGGCCACCTTTGACCCCGTTCGTGGAGACACAATGTGACCTTTCTATTGTCATCGGCTTTCATTCTCCTGAAAATTCTATGAATTTTTATTACAAGTTTTTTTTTAAGCCAAGCTGAGGCTTCAACAAATTACTTGACGCAGATGAGATGAAGTTGTTGAGGTGGCGGAGATAAGTTTTACAGCCGCGCGGCTGCGAGGGCCCAGGCCTGTCCCGCAATGTCATACGCCAGTAACCGCTGAGCCGACTATTGGATAAATACATCATTTTATGGAACATTGATTGTTCTATAAACCCAATGGAGTATTATGCTCTATGATCAAACCATTTAGATTGTGTGTAGAGCACAGAAAATGCCATATTCAGGATGGTACTAAAAGTGCCATTTGTGTATTTTATGGATGTCATTACAGGGGAAACTTCTCTCTGTAGGCCCTGTTTACTGCAAAATTTTTTAGTCTGTAATGACATTTTTCATTCACAACGTATGCCTTCAAGAGAGGGGGCCCTTGTTTTATTTGTTTCATTCGAGTTTACTGCACAAATTCTGTACATTTTAATTAAATGTAAGCTTAACAAAAGCATAAGGTATTTATTCTGTGGGAAGAAGTGATGACAGTAACGGAAGAACAGCACGCAGACGGACGCACTCAGGTGGAGGCCTCGTCCGCCCCTCCCGGGGTGGGCAGGCTGGCGGCGGCAGCCTGAGCCCGGCCCCTGGAGACCACAGGTCCAGCCGCACCCCACTCCCGCGCAGGCCTGGTGCTGACAGCTCTGCCCGCCCCAGAAAGGACGCCTCGGGGAACCGGGCCCAAGTGACCTTGGAGAAGTGAGCCTAGCTGGAAGCCATTTCCCTCACAAACAGCCACCCCAGGAACCCTCTCAGGCCCCCAGGTTGTGCGTGCGTGGCCCGCCTTTTAGCTGCGCCCTCAGGAGGGCACACGACAGGGAGGGCCTGGGGCTTCGCACGGAGTCCTAGCCGCCTCTTGCTGTCCTGTGGAAACCGAGCCAGAAGGGCTGACCTAGCTGTGCTGGTGGCCGGCCGCTGCGAGGCGCTGACCGCCCCCCTGAAAGCGCACGTGGGGTGCCCCTGCATGTTGGGCGCCGCGGTCCCTGAAGGGAGCTGCAGCGGGTCTGGCCCACCGAGCACCCACCCTCAGGCTCCAGCTCCCCGGCTCGCGGGGCTGCGTGTGCTAGAAAGAGAGCAAAGATGGAAGCCGGCGTGCCGAGCGCCTGGCTCGTCGCCGGGCGGAATGCGAAGTTCCGGCAGAGCCCACATTCGTTTCAGTGACACTTGAACTTCTCCATAGCTCGACATTAATTCATTATGGTCGAAATGGAAGAATCTTCAGTGGGTGAATCTTTTTCAATCTGATTGAGGCTGTTACGTTTTATAGGTGCTATTTTTCAAAGCAGTACTGACAGCACTCGAAGTTATTAAATTGCTGAATCAAAGGATGGACCTGCACTCGCCTTTATGGGCTGTGATGGAGCCGCGGCCGCGCGCGGGCTGAGACGGTGGCGGCGTTAAGCTCCATCACACCCGCGGTGACAGCAGTATTTACCCATGTAGTTTACTTTAATGGTCTGGAAGTGGCTTAACCCACCTCTGGATTCAAATAAATTCAGTAAGTAGTTCCGAACAGCATAATTATCAGGGCTGCAAGGGATTCAGAGGCTAATTCCACACCCAGGAGATTTCCCGTCCAGTGGCAGACAAGGACGGAGCCGCCCGGCCCCGGCAGGGGTTTGCTTCCCGGGGCCCCGAAGAGCAGCGTGTCTGTTCTTCCCCAGCTGCCGCCCTCCCAGTCCTCAGGCACGGGCGCTGCGGCCTCGTCTGTGATTCATTGGAGAGGGAGGTAACTTGAAGGCTGCCTTCTTTATTTTTGTGTCCATTTTCTTTTTTTTTCAAACTCTACCTTAGAGCGAAAATGACCTTGAAATTAAAGAATGAGCAGAAGCAGACGGGATCAAGTTCAGCGTGTGCTGAGGCCTGCAGAACGCCAGCTCCTGACCGGGGGCGCGGGGGCGGGGCCGCAGGGGAGATCTAGAGGCCCTGAGGGTCCTGACTGCTGGGGTGCAGCCCCAGCATGGCCAGGCAGCCGAGCAGGGAGCTGTGGGGCGTCCCCCGTCAGCTTCTTGCTCCACACCAAGCCACCCCCCCACCTCCCCCAGGAGGGCTCAGGGCGACGCGTGCGACTAGGTCAGCGCCCTTGGTGGCGACCCAGCAGCTCTTCCCGGACCCGTGTGCTTAACCTCGCTCACCCCTGAGCTTCAGCCTTCCAAGGGGCCGGGTGGTGAAGGGTGTTTCTCTTCTGTCCGGCAGGAGGGCGGGGAGGAGATGTCTATGGCAGTGTCGTGACTCAAGAGCCTGCAGAGCCCCTGGGGTGTGCACCTCCCGGCTGCCCAGCCCCCTGGCAGAGGTGCCTGCCGGTGCCCACTCGGGAGCTCCGGGCCCCGCCCTGCCGGGAGGGCACCTACGGAGGAGCGGGCTGTGCCGCGTGGCCTGGTCGGCCACCGGTTGGAATGGGCGCGGGCGGGCAAGGCTGCAGCCACGTGCCGGGCCTAACTGCTCCCTGTCTCCCGCAGGCATCGTCTCCAAGTCCTACGAGTGCCGCCTGAAGGGCCAGGGCGCCACCTTCGTGGAGACGGACAGCCCCTTCACGGCGGCCGGCCTGGTGGACGAGTCTCCGGTGAAGGACAGGCCAGTCCGGAGTGGCCGGCGGCAGGCGCCCACGGAGCAGGTGCAGCAGGTCATCATCATCCAGGGCTATGACGGGGAGTTTGCCCTGGACGCCTCCGTGGAGGAGACAGCCGCTGCTACGCTGCAGACGCTGGCGCTGGCCGGCCAGGTGGCCCGGGTGGTGCACATCACGGAGGACGGGCAGGTCATTGCCACCGGCCAGGCGGGCACGCAGACGGGTGGCGGCGCCCCCGGGGCCGTCCTGCCTGAGCAGCTGGAGGACGCAGCCGCCCAGGTGGTGGTCGTGGGGGCTTCCCTGGACGGCGCCGGCGCGGAGGAGCCCCTCAGCCCCGGGCGGGCCGCGATCCAGCAGGTGACCAAGCAGGACCTGGTGGAGCTGGCCCAGGCCGGCGTCCCCGCGCCCGATGCGGCCTCCGCCCTGGATGCCCTGCTGTGCGCAGTCACTGAGTTGGGGGGCGTGGACGGCCGGGTGGGGCCCGAGGAGAAAGGCCGCCCCGGCCCTAGGGACGTGCTAGTCCAGCTCCCCGCGCAGGAGGCGCCCCTCGCCACCCAGCCCGAGGGTGCGCAGATCCACATGTTCCACGACCTGCAGGACGGCCCGGCCGCCGCGGAGCCTGTGGAGGTGCTGACCCAGGTCGTGCGGCCCACGGCCCTCATCACCTCGCAGGAGCGTGCCCAGGTGGCCTTCAAGAAGGTGGTCCAGGGCGTCCTTCAGTTCGCTGTGTGCGACCCGGCGGGCGGCCAGCTGGTGAAGGAGGGCGTCACGCAGGTCATCGTGAACGAGGAGGGTGCCGTGCACATGCTGGCGCAGGAGGGCGCCCAGATCATCATGCAGGAGGCCGAGGCGCCCGGCCCGCACGTGGACCTGGCCGAGCCGGACGGCGAGATCTCCCAGATCATCGTGACGGAGGAGCTGGTGCAGGCCATGGTGCAGGAGTCCCGCGGCCCCTTCCCCGAGGGCGCCACCCACTACATCGTGACGGAGCTGCCGCCGGGGGTGCGGGACTCGCCAGGCGTGTTCTCCCACACGGTCATCGAGGCGGCCGACTCGCAGGAGGTGCTGCAAGCCGGGGCGGCGCTCAGCGCGGAGGCCGTGGTGCCGGCCGGGAGCGAACAGCTGACCAGCATGGTCATTTACACCCAGGAGGGCTCCTCGGCCGCCGCCGTGCTCCAGAGCCAGAGGGAGAGCAGCGAGCTCCAGGAAGCCTGAGCGGCCCTCCCTGACGCCGGCTCTCCCCGCGGCGCCACCGCCCTGGCCCGGGACGGCGCCGGCCCTGGAGGCCCCAGGGGAGCGGCTGCGCCCCCGTCTGTCCATCTGTGGCGCCGAGAAGCAGCTCAGCTCTCTGCTGGCCTCTTCCCCACAGACGTCCCTCCCGTCTCAGCCCCCGCGGGGCGGCACAGGGCCTGGGGGCGAGAAACGGCCCGTCCGCTCCTGCTGGGCGCGGCTGCCGGAACGGTTCTTCTGTATTTGGTTAAAAGTTGCGGCCGCGAGCGTGCCCGTCGCAAGCTGTCCGCTCCGTTCACTTTTTGAAATTTTGGGATCGCGGTGTCCCCAGACCAAAGGAAGCCCGTCGGCCCATTCGCGTGTGGGCTCCCTCCTCGGCCCTGGCGGAGAGGCGCCGGGGCCGGGGCCTGGGGCGGGAGGAGAGTGTGCCTGTCAGCGCCCGGCGCGGCCGGTCTCGACCTAGTTTCGTACGATAGAGTCTCTATATGAAATGTGCGCCCTGGAAAATACTGTTCATATCAATATTTTGCTTTTTATAACAAATGTTTGTTCGTATCGATATCATTTTTGCAGGATTGTTTGTGTCAGGGGGCGCGCTGACCTTAAACGTCATGCCGGAGGCGGCCCGGCCTCAACCGGCCTCCCTGCCCAGGCGGCCACGCTCGGGCGGCCCGGCGGGGTCCCCGCTGCGGCCCTCGGGTCTCGGTGCCGTTGCGCTGCTTCCTCCCCCAGAGCTGTAAAGTAGCCCTGCCCGCAAACGCACAGGTTGTTTCTGTTCTGTTTCTTTTTTCTTTGAAATAAAATTAGAGCATTAAAAGGTGACGGTGCTACTTCATTTCCAGCACCCGCCAGCGGCGCCGTCCAGCTGGCAGAGGGGCTGCCGGCCCCGTGTCCCCGCTCTCCGAGCGCGCGGGCCCTGGGCCCTGACAGGCGCCCCCGCGGGCGCCCGGGCTCTGCCGTGGTGGGGACGCGTCCTGCCGCGCGCGGCTCCGGCCCGACGGCGAAGCGTGAGCTTGAGAGGGAAGGAGGAGAAAGGGAGCCTTTTCCTTTCCAGTGGGGGGCGGTGGGCAGCCTCTCCCGGGGGTCCTTGCCACCCCCCCCGCCCCCCCCGCCTGCCGCCGCGCCGCAGCCGCTCCGCCAAGGAGCACGGGTGAAACGGCAGGTCAGACACTCGCGTGGTCGGCAGCGGGGCCTGACCCGCACCCCTGCGAGCGGAGGCCCTGCACCCGAAACGCTGGCTCCGGCAAACGGACGAGGCCGCCCGGGCTGTTCCCAGACGCCGGAGACCTTTCCCCGGCGGAGGCCTCCCGGGGCGCCTGTGCCTGCCGCGCGGGGCTGGCGGTGCTTTCCGGGGAAGCGCGAACCGCTCGGCTCCCGCGGGCTGCGGGCCAGCCCTGGGCTGGCGCTAGCTCCTGGCGGCCCGGGCCAGCCGCCGGACCCTGCTGCCCACTGGGCATCTGACGTGCTGCCGTTCCCGGCTGTGAGTTCTTTAGGATAAACATGTCTCGGGGGCATTTGCTCAGCCATAAAACCGCTGTGGCCTGAGGGTCGAAGCAGCAGCACGGTGCCTGCGCAGGAGGGAGCCTTTGCACGGAAACCGCGCAGCAGGTGTCCGAGGCCCGGGCCATGGCGGGCGCCGGCCTCACCCTGCAGTCGCGGAGCTCGGGCAGGGGCGGCGCGTGGGCCTCAGGACATCAGGGCCCATGTGTCGCCGCGGAGGCATCTGTAGGGACGACCCAGGCACGTGTGTGCGTCCGTCAAGATCTTTGCCAGAAAATGCAGCGGAGGCCCTTGGCGTGGAAAACGACTCGCTCTGAGGCGGAAAGGCCCCCTTCTTGTTAGAGCTGCAGCCAGTGACATGCATGGACGCCTGACAGGCAAGCAAGACCCGGCCCGGGTGGCAGCAGGTGGCGGCCACCCACGCAGGTGGAGGTGGGGCCCCGTGGGCTGTGGAGGGCCGTGCGACACCGCCGGGAACTGTCGGCGGGTGAGGGCTCAGGAGAACCGCGGAGACTCAAACAGGCACCCCGGGCGGGGCGGGGGGTACTTTTACCCAGCCCCTCTGCATCACAGCCGGGTCCACAGCCCGGCCAGGACCCCCCGCGGCAGCCCCGGCCGCTGCCCAGGGAGAGCTGTCAGCGTGACCCCCCCAACCCCGTTCTCAGACCATCTCCTGAGCATGCAGCCGCGATGCGCAGAAAGAGCCGAGGCGCCAGCGTCGCGTCCTCACCCAGAGGCGCTTCCGCAAGAGAGTGGGGAGCAGGAAAGGGCATCCGTTTAGCCGAGGAGCCGGGAGCCTCCCTCACTCTGCTGTTGAACATCGGCCCATGATTTCAGGGCGCAGCTCACTTGGGCCTCCTCCGCCTGCTCCATCCTGCGGACGAATCCAATTCGTTTTCTGCTCCTCTAGGGTGATATCATTTTCCATGAAGGGAAAAGTTAGCTGGGATGGCAGTTATACGTTTCGGAAGCACCTTCTAATCAGGATGGGTGATTCATGATTAGCTTCAGCGGGCGATCCGTCTGACACGTAAGGGGAAAATTAGCAGCTGTCCTTGCGTGATGAGTTAATTTCCTGACAGGCCTGACACTGAAAGCCATTTGGAGACGTGGCGGGGGCTGCGGAGAGCCTGGCGCTGCTTTATAATCCAGACAGACAGGGGGCAGGGGTGCGGGCTGGGGGCCACTTAGCTACAAGTTGGGGGTCGCGCGTGGTCCTCAATGCAGGCCTGCACGCAGGCTCCCCTGGCTGCGGCCCCAGCCTTCCCACACCTGGGCGCACGCGGCACCAGGAGCCGAGGGGCAGGGGCCTGACACGGGCAGGCCCAGAGCCCGGCTCCCTGATTGCCCAGGCGGTTGTCTTTGGAGCTCAGGCCTTCGGGCGAGGGCCGTGAAAAAGTGGCCCCGTGGAATAATCCTGTGCAGGCTCGGGAGGAGGCCGTGGAGCTGCGGGGCGCTGTCCTGCCTGTGGCCTGCGAGGACACGGGCAGCTCAGTGCGTGGAGTGACCACCCTGGAGGTCCGCTCCTCCGCCCTAGGAGGGGCTCCGAGTCCAGCCAACACCTTGGGGGAGTCTTTTCAGAATATCCTAAGGAGGGAAGTTGGAAGCAGAGACAGAGGTGGCCTGTGTCACCAGGAGGGATGGGCACAGTCTTCAGGGCCCCAGTGAGGACTTTGGGGGAAGATTCTGGAGTCAGGACAGGCCGTGCTGCGCCTGCTGCCTCTGGGTGTCCCCCAGAGTGAGGGAGTGTCCAGGGCCTGGGAGCCAGCACGGCACCCTAAAGCCCTGGAGTGAGACTTGCACGAGGCTGGCCACCCGGGGTTCATGGCTGCAAAACAGGTGTGGCGGGGAGCCCCAGCCAACCCGGCCTTCGCTGACCACGGTGCAGGAAGTGGGGGTCGTGCCTGGGAGCGAGGGGGCCCACTCGGGGGGGACCCAATAGAACAGGGGCTCTCATCCCAGGAGGGAGGCGGGAGCCTGGGCACAGGGTCAGAGGAACTGGCCGCGGCTCCCGGAGGAGGCACCCGGAGGAGCATGCAGGCCTGTGCCGGGACCTGAGGCGAGAGCAGAGCAGCGAGTGCGTGGAGGTGAGTGTGAGCGGAGCTCCCCCCCCCTGCAGGGGAGGAGGTGGCGCTGGGGAGGGTCCCTCGGGCCGGGTGGCCCCGGGCTCAGGCCACGGTCCGAGACACCATCAGCCTCCCCAAGGAAGACGACAACTGCGTCCCGGGTCTCAGGTTTCCCGGGAGTTCCAAGCCCAGGTGGCTCACTCCATCCCCGGACCCTGTCCACACGGCCACCTGCTGCCTGACACCTGCCAGGCCGGGGTGGGGAGACTCTTCCAAAGTCTGAAATAAAAATGCATAACAGATGTTCTGGCATTTTCTTTGTGCACACAGTGGCTTGCCTGTGCCTCACTGTGGTGCCCCCCTTGGGTCACCCTCTGTGGCACAGCCTGAGCTAACAGTGGGGCCCACGGGTGGGGCTCTCTGGGGACATGCAGCCAGCACTTCCCGGCCCCACACAGCCCTCCAGGCCCCCTAAGCCCTGGATGCCCCACACCCAACCAGTGTCCCCTCACACCTCTCAGCTGTGCTTGAGGACTGGGCACACCATGCGCTCCCAACCCCAGGCCCACAGGCAAGAATGCCAAGGGGTGAGATGGCAGCACACATGAAGATGAAGAGGAGACAGCAAGAGCAGAGACAGAAGCCAAGTTGGGGATGGTGCAGGGGTAGAGTCGTGGTCCCAGTGGGGAGAGCAGAGCCTCCGCACCAGCAGGTGTTCCAGAACCTGAGCAGCTCAGGCGTCCACCGACAGGCAGTGCAAGCTCCCCCTGCCCCAACTTTTGCAGCCAGACAGGTGCCCCTCCCCCACTCTCTAACCCAAGAGACGCTGGAAGCTTTCTCTTCTGGGGATACCAGAAAGGCTCCGAGCTGGGAACATAGCAGAGGTGAGGTGGGGGGGCAGGTGCCAAGGGTCAAATGAAATGGAGAGACCTTCTATGGACTGCAGTGAGAGCTTCCTGCAGTCTCTCCCTCGCCAGGTGCAGAACAGTGGAAACCAAATGTGTAGCCCTGTTGGAAGACCCAAGAATTCTTTTCTGGAGAAACTGAGCCACCCCAGAGACCTGCATCGACGGACAGCAGGAATCCCCCATGGAGAGGCCACTGTGCTCCAGTCACTCTGGTGAGGCTGCCAGGAAGCCCCAGCAGACTCCCCAGCAGCCTTGTGCCTCACTCACATGCGGACCAAAGGGAATCAGAAAGATCAAAAGTGAACAAGAGGAGAAGAAAGTTGAAAGAAACACATTTGAAGAAAATTTCAAAATCTGCATGTAGTGAGAAACGTGTGCAGCTATGAAATAATAACAAACGTCTGTATTTTTAAAGAGTAACACTAAGAGAACAAAATAGATGCCATTTGTTTAAAATCCATCAGAGGTTTGGAAGACAGTTAATAAAAACTCAGGATGTAGGAACAAAAAACAAAGAATTTGAATATAGAAGACCAAACCAGAAAATCAGAGTATCAGTATCGGAGAGCTGAGGGTGACTAAAAGAAGGTTCAGAAAGAGAAACTGGTGGAAAGAGAAAGAAGGAAATTATCAAAGAATTTTAATTTCAGAAAACACACTAGACTAAAGGAAGAATTTCCAACTGGAAAGAACCCATTAAATACCCAGCAAAATGAAGAAAAAAGACCCATACTGTGCTTACCAACTCCAAAATATGCAACACTAAAAGCTTCCAAAGAAGAAAATAAAAGAAACCGGACAAAGGAAATCAGCGTGACTCCAGACTTCTAAATACAATCCTAGATACTAGAAGTCAATGAAGGAATATCTCAAACTCCCAAGATACAATTGCTTATCAAAGAAGAATTCTATATCCAGCTAAACTATCAATCAAGTATCATGCTGGAGACACTGCGAGATGTGCAGTCTCTCCAAAGTTTTGCCCCCGTGTGCTCTTTTCTATAAAGCTACTGAAAAATATGCTCTTCCAGGAGCTAGATCAGTGTGGGGACCCAGGAACAAAAGCTTAATAAAGGAGCAACAAAGGGAATGCCAGAGTAATGTTTATCAGAGCAGGTAAAGGGAGGGCTCTATGGAGAAAGGACTAGAACCAAGAGAGGACATGATGTATTAATTTGGATGGGAATGAGTGACAGTATATAAAAAAAATCTAAGATGATAAAAACAGGGAGGTCACATTAATGTCAGAAAAGGCTACACACTTGTATAAGAAAAATCAAATCACTGGGTTCCACAGTGAACAATATTTATGTAGTCGCGATAGACTGAATTTGAGTTTAA